TTCGCTGGAAAAAAACGAGCATCAAAAATTAGGAAAAATATCGTCGTTTCGGTAGGGGTGCGGCATAAAATATGTTTTGGGGGTTTCATTCATTAATAACAGGATAATTACTTCTGATAACTTTTGCGTACCTACGTCTGCCAACGATCACAAAGCAATGCCATTTTGTGCATTACTCAGAAGTACAAAATCCATTGTCTTCCAAGGTGCCATTTTCCACAATTCAAACGTCTTTTTTTGTATGTATGTTGGTACGTGTTTTTTTACGAACTTTTCTTGCTCCGTTCTCAAGATAAAAAAATAAGGTGTGATCGACCGTGGAACCGGCAAACTCGTTTGCTGGCGTTGGTCGTCTCGAAACATGTACGTATGTATGTATGTACATCACACACATTCATACGTACAATACGCATCCAGAATAAATGTATGCGCGTTGTGAGTCGTCTCCGTAACAAGTGGCCAAAGTAGTAACTTATACAACGTGCACTCAAATACTAGATATACATGCGGAACTATACGAGGGGTGATCGGGATCATTCCGCTACCCCAATAACCATGGTCGGTTTGCGTGAAGTGCTATGCACCAAGGGTTTAACTTGGTTATAGCGGTTATGCCTAAGGTTGCCACCTTTTCAGTCTTTAAATAAAGTATTTCTCGACTAAAAGGTTAAAAAAAAAGTACTCAGCATAAAAATAAAGTATTTTATTTTCTGTTTTTAAAAACATATTTTTTGTTACACCTAGCAGCCAGTAACAAATTGCTGTCGCTCTTAAATACATTAATAGCCTCTAAACATGGCAAACAAAGATTTAAGTAAACTAAAAGTTCATTTTTAATTAGTTTTAATGAAGCTTTATTCCTGTCGTCCCGCCACATTGCGTTCATAACAGAGAATACTCTTTCTGTAAATACTGAAGTGGCCGGAACGGACAGCAAAAGTGAAACTACTTTGAACAGATTTGGGCAATCAGGTTGTTCCGTAAATATGACTTGCCATTTTTCTGTGCAATATTATTGATATAAAAATACTCTAAATTTCGAATAATCGCTTACAAAATTACGATGTTTACTTAAGGCCTTAAATAAAGTATTTTTGCATACTTTATGTGTCTTGTAAAGTATGACGTACGCACAGTCGAAATAGAGTACAATACTTTATAATAAAGTACGGGTGGCAATCCTAGTTATGCCTGAACTGTATGAAGTGCTAGGTTGTGATGGGAGAGGATTCCATGATTGGATTGCACCAGGGCGTTGTGGCATGCACCAGGGGCTACGCTATGATTTGAAAAGTTTCACAAGGATTAAAAACAATTTCATCCAAAACGTAAAACAAATTTCGGTAGTTCACACATGACAGTAGCGTTTGTTAAAAAGCTTTACAGTGTAAGTTCGCAAACAATTGAGGTAATGTAATGTAAACAGATTTTACTATTAACTGACTGAATGTACATCACTACAATCATTTTGGCCTGTTGTGGTCGTTTACGTATTTACGCTACTCAGCGGTGTTTACAATAAATTGAAGCAATGTCGTCAATTCACGTGTAAACGTGCATAATCTGACAATTATCAAATTCTAAATAATTTTATGAGTTGTTTTGGTCAAAAAAATATATAAGATGCCGTTTTTCTGCCAAGTAGTTCGTAAAATAGTACCTAACCCTTATTACGCCAAATGCTTTAAAATGTTAACGTATATGAACATGAACATTTTTAGCCAATCATTTTGCACTCTTTTTTTCCTCTTTGAAGCATTGCCAAGTGGACCAACGTCTCTTATCTCGAATCACATATGATCGACAAACCCACTCATAACATCCATTTTTAGGAGCCCTTCCTACCTTACCGTGGTTTATTTTGGCAGATACGTACATGTCTTTATACTCTCTATTATTCTTGATAAAACTAAATGCTCTGTTTCCCTTGTTTCAAGTCCCTACAAGTATTCCTATTCCTCTCTACTCCACTACCTTTACATTCCTCCCGTAATTCGCTCAAAATTTCTTCCTCTCCTCCCTTCCATACAATTTCACAAACTTCCGCCGCTTCTATCTCATGTACGAATCCCATACATTTTTACACCACTTTGACGTCCATTTCGATGTTCTTATTTCTTCCAGCAAACATACTTTTGACCACCTCACATGCCACACCACCTCACATGCTACTACTACTAATTTTTACTAATTACTACTAATTATTATAATTACTACTAATTATTATAATACATTTTAGTAGTTGTAAAAGGATAATTAAAGACGAAAAAAAGGTCGCGATCAAGCAGGTGGCTAGTTTTTACTAACAGAAAAACTTCTGCATCTTTTCTAAATCTAAATAAGTTTTAGTTCGTTCTTAATTCATTTAATCTTTTTACCACTGTTCCAGCCGTGTAGTAATTCACTTTGGAAATTCAATCTGAACTTCCAGAAAATTATATTATCTAGGATAACGAAACACACAACTTTACTTCTTTACAATCAATAAAATTAGACTAGAACGGTGACAAGTAATAATTTTTTTATTTAATTTTATGCAAATCTACCTAGCGTGTTGACAGAATACAATGCAACCTTATCGCATAATTTTAACTTTAAAAAGACGTCGTGTCGTGACCAAAGTGGTCAGTTCTCAGTTGCTTTCATACAAGTTTTAAGTTTTCATTTCTTTTCCAATTTTTCAAATATAGTTTTTACACGTATAAGTAAGTACCTATACAAAATTGTTATCATCATCAGGAAGTAATAGAAACACAGTTTTTTAATGTACAATCGGAATGTCCCTCGTATCTATACGCGGTACATCACGTTTACGTGTTGGTTTGTCCGAAGAGGTGATGGAATAGCGAACGGAATGGATGGACGAATCTGGCGGTCGGATGGACATAGGATAGATGGATGGATGTGTGCCCTAGAACCAACTCTTTCACGTCACCGCATGTCTGTCTTTTAGGTCGAAGAAGAACGTGATGGTGAAATACAGACGCACAAACACACTCGTACATATACACCGTCGAGGTTATTGCCTTCCCACATTCTCTTCTACTCCGGCGAAAAACGTGTTTATTACACGTTGAAAATCGACGAATGCCACTCAACAGGAACATTCATCAACTCACTAAATTTTTCATGTTATTATCGAATTCAGGTACAAAATCAATTATTTATTGTTTGTGTTCATAACTTCAGTTCAATTTTTGATATACGGGGGACAGTCTGTCAATCGGTTTCTTTAAGCAAGAAGTGTGACTTAATTAATCTACGCACAGTTACTTTCATTTTCTCTTTTAAATGTCTTTTGTAAATATTAATTCTTTTAAAATAATTCGAAGTAGATATCCACACAAGTGGACCTTGTAATCCTAAAATGTAGCATCGTACTACAGATGGCGTTTACCGCGCCATCTGTGGTATTTTCTAAAACGCACTGTTAAGACAGCAGGTAAAAGTTGGCCTGTGTTCTGTCGGAGCTGCCTGCGACGCGCTGATCAGATCCAAAAAGATCGAAATCGCGATCCGCGTCTGGCAGTTTCGACAGAATACAGACCACTTCGAATTATTTTATTCGATTATGGTAACGTGCCTATCACTTTGAGGTTGGGCTACGCCTGGATTCGTTTTCAGCAAGTAGATATCCACACAAGTGGACCTTGTTGGAGCATACAAATCCTAAAATGCAGCATCGTACTACAGATGGCGTTTACCGCACCATTTGTGGTATTTTCTAAAACGCATTAATTCTTTTATTTATATGTGGGCAGTTTTATAATTTTTTTCGTTGGACACGCACTAATCTAGGTCTATCTCTACTCCCATCCAATATTTTAAGTTTTACATGATAGAAAATCGGATGATTTTCAATTAGTTCTTGAAATATTTTGACATTTCTCTATCAGACTAGTACGATCTACCACTGTTCTATCTATATTAAGTAACTAATAAGTAGAGAAAACTTCATATCCGACCAGATTCGAGTACGCTAAGAAGCGCGACAGTGAAAATTAAATTTGCACCTTCTATATTAAACCTCCAAATTGGATCTCGGATGACTAAAAGCCCCCATCCATCTACTGTCTCTATTAGGAGAAAGAGAACCAACCGAATGATGAATAAAATTACTATATTACTCAAAAATGTTTAACAAAATTGGTTCTATATTTACTCCATAATTTTGCTTGATTGGTAATGCTAATACCTACAAAGAGAAACGTTAACTTCTTTATTTTTAACTTTTACATACGGTTAGGAAGGTGATCTCTGATTTAACACTTAAACAATATGTACAAGTGACATCAATTATTTATTAGTTCACTTGCCCCATATTTCCTAATTTTTACAAAACGGGACAGGCGATTAAGTTAAGGTTGAGAGGGTTGATCTGAAGCATGGAAGGTTAGTGTTAAGGACAACGCATACATGTATGCTTTTAATAACTAATATAACTAATTTTCATGCCCTACGACACTCTTCTCAACCACAGTCTAATCTTCAACATCAAGTACGTCGTCAACCAAAAGGACAGGGGAGAGGCGATAGAATGATATCATGAATTGTAGGGTGTAATAGGTAAAATAAATACAACTTGTAAAATTTTAGTGCTTTAGACAAGAAACAAAAATCTTAATTAGTACATAATATTTTTAGATTTTCTTTTAATTTCTTAAATAGTACCGCTTAGTTACATCTGTCTTGTTGCCAAACATCAAGTGTGAGGAATACATGGAATCAATCGTCTTCACATTCGGCATGCACACACTTTCAANTTTATTTGCAATTTGTTAAATGTGTATGTTTTTTACATTGATTTAACAAAATTATATGAAAGTAGTATAAAATAGAACGGTCCTGACATTTTTACTTTATAAAACAAATTGTTTTTGAAAGTTTTCGAAATTACTAAAACAACTTAGAAGAATGATTGGTTGCATACTGTACAATTTTCTACGTTATAGAAGTATCATATGAAAAAATAAAAGTATTTTGGCAATTTCATACACTGCTAACAATTGCCATGTATTTATTAGTTTTAAAAGAAGAAATTCATATATCAAACATATAACAATACAATAAGAAAAAAGTTCACTTTAATTTAAGATTTATTAAACGCAAAATATTCAATTTAATATGGCAAAGTATTAGTTTAAGTATTTTTTTTATGAATGCTCTACTTCATTCATTTCATCTTCATCTAAATTTATAACTATTTCATCACCACATTCACTATGACTATCTTTAGTTCTTGTTGGTTTTCCTCTATCTTTTTCGTTTGAAATTTCACCATATTCTTTATCTTTATTAATTATCTTTTGTAATGGGCTACATATTTTTTGTAATTCATTTTCTTTATGATCTTTTGATTCAATATGCTCTGGAGTGTTTTGTTTGCCTATTATAATTTGAGTATTTTTCATACCTTCTTTTTGAATATTTACTTGAAAATGTATTTTATCTACACATGTATGGGTATTTTCTTCTGTCCGAAAATTATCTGTAACATTATTATTTTGTATGCTCCAGTCTCTGATTATTTTAACTTTCTGTTTAATTTTTTTCTGTGCTGTATTTTCTTTTAGTTTTTCAGATTCATCATTTTCATGAGGTGAGCGTTTTGAACTAATGGTCGAAGTTTTCTCAGCTTCTTGTAATTCATGAGATTCCCTTTCTTCTTCAGAGTCACTAGAGTCTATAACTATCTCATCTTTTTCTGGACTTTGAACAATTACAGCGTCGTCATCATCAGATATTTCCTCCAGCTTCACATTTAAATTTTCTGTCTCTTTTTCTTTCTTTTGAGCTGCTTCTAATGCTAATTGTGATCTAATAGCTCTTGCTCTGGCTTGAAGTTCTAGAAGTTCTAGGACACTCATTAAATTACCGTCTTCAGTTCCTTTTTGATTACTTTGTGAGTGGTGGCTCCTTTTTCTTGATTTCTCTGATTTTTCAGATTTTATCGACTTTGTTTTAGATTTTGCCTTCTGCTTTTTATATCTCTTGTCCAACTCTAAAAGAATGTCATATATACTTCTTTAACTTCTACATAATCAATTAAAAGTAAATCAATTAAAACATTTACCATCTACAATTGCATCTTTATCATCAGGTCCGATACATATTTCAATATCATCATCAGAAATATCATCCAGTGATATTACTTCAGCTATCTTTTCATCTTCTGACTCTGAAGAACTACTCTCTCGATCAGGGTTCTCTCCATTGAAAATATAGCCTAATCTTTTATTGGATATTCCCAGAAGTTCTTCTAAAAGCATGGCATTTATTTCTTCAATATCCAAATGCTGTAATTCATCCATAAAGCTTTATGAACATGCTACTAGTACATTTGTATACTAATACGCACTTTTATACAATCGGGAGCCATCGATTTAATTTTTTTTGGATTGAGTATTTTTAAAACCTCCTTCATCATTCTGATTTTATCGTTTTTATAGTGTGATAATTCATGTGCACTACTTTCTTCATCGGATTCAGAGGAACTCTGTAGGTTTGTCAGCAATTTCTTTTTTTTTAAGGTCTTCTTACTGCGTTTAATTAAATTATTAGACATTTCTTTATAATCGTTTAACGTATCAAGATGCAGGGTTATGTTTTGTGTTTTTGTTTTGCTTGATGTACGACCATAGATACGTACGACCATTTTCTGAGGTTATTTATGTATATATTTATTAATTTCAGTGTTGCCAAACTGCGAAGTTTAGAAATTTTAATAAATCTAACAAAGTATGTACATTTAAAAAATTTTTNTAGGGTGTAATAGGTAAAATAAATACAACTTGTAAAATTTTAGTGCTTTAGACAAGAAACAAAAATCTTAATTAGTACATAATATTTTTAGATTTTCTTTTAATTTCTTAAATAGTACCGCTTAGTTACATCTGTCTTGTTGCCAAACATCAAGTGTGAGGAATACATGGAATCAATCGTCTTCACATTCGGCATGCACACACTTTCAAATCGCATCGCAATAAATGACTTGGTACTTGAACAAACTTTTTCGAGTTTCTGGGAGGAGGCAGCTGCCCCCCATCCCAGCCAACGCCGCTGTGTTTTCAATGATCATCGTAATTACTCATTGTGGAACTTCCCAAATTACACACAACGCGTTCTGATGGGTTATTATTATAAAATCGTCAGTAAGATTGGTTGGACATGCATCTCCAATCTTTCCCATCTCGAGTTAATCTCCGCATTTCCGTAAAACTACATATCCTTAACTATTTATGAACAGTAATCTAATCTACGTCTACTTCTACCCCTCCTAACTCCTGTTTCTGCCTGTAATATGTCTGACTAGACCTTCATGTCTGAGGACCAACCTATCTCGCCTATTTCTTATTGACTTCCACTATGGCCTCTGTTCTCTTATTCATTCTAATACCTCGTCATTTCTAACCTTCTCTATCCACGATATCTTCATTGTTCGCCTGTAACACCACATTTCAAATGCTTCTAACCTTTCCTGTTCCGCAGCGCCTACCGTCCACGTTTCATACCCATGCTCCAAGCATACACCTTTATTAACCGTTTCTGAATTTCCAAATTGGCCGATCTCGAGCACAAAAGTGATTTCTTTTTCCTAGTACTGATCCGACCCTGCGATAATATTTGTTTTATGTTTTATATTTCTAGAGCTATTTCCGTCGTGAGCTATGACTCCACAAATATCTAGAATTAGCGCCTTCCAGTTTATCGTGTCCTCTAGGTATATAAAAATTAAAACCTTTCTACTTGAAAAAAGTATTTTTAAAATTAGATTAATTTGACAGTATATGCTGAAATTTTTGAAATTCAGAACCTTTCGCTTGCAAATAAAAATATTCTCTGGTTTTCCAACGGTTAGCAAATTCCCTGAGAATTTCAAGTTTTCCAAGTTGATCTACAAAACCTTAAACTAGCATGCTAAAATGAACTAATTTAGCGTACACCCTGTATATTATATCACCTGTAGATGCACGTAGTGGGTATTTGCATGCGCAATGAAACAACTTAATCCGACATCCAGTGCAATACAGCTGTTGTAATTAATTAAAATTTGCCGACATCTTAATCGATTACGTTAACGAGAAAGTAGTGCCAATGCAAGCGGCGGGGGTCGACGTAAATGGGACAGCGGACGTGCCATTGCACGCGGTCTTAGTTATCTTTCAATTGTTTTACACGTCGTAACTTAAGCCCCGTGCGGAACATCGACATGCAACGTTGCCACAAATGAAAAATTTTATAAACACAAAGTACCTATACGTATAAAAAAAAGAGTACACATAAAAATTCGTACAGAACAAATTAATTAATATAATCTTCAAAAAACAAGGTTATCATAAAAAGGAATCATTTATCTCCTCTTCTGCTAGCAATTAGTTCGGTAAATGTCTAGATGATGGGGTGGGTGGGATCGAAAGAGGAGAAGGAGATTTCCCTCACCACTGTAGCATAAAAAGTTCGCGGCGGTCTCACACCCATAAAAAGTTATGGGGGTTAGATGGGGGTGGGGGTAGGAGGAGATCGAAAAAGGGTGGTCACCTGAGTAAAACTTCATAAAAAATTTGCGGCGGTCTCACCTCATAAAAAGTTATGGGGGTTGAAAGTTTATTTTGACAATTTTCATACACTATAATTCAA